GATTTACAGGAGCCAAACGATGATTTCATTCAGGATAAGGAACATCCTTTTGGCTGTATGTGGTTTAAAAACTCCATTACTGTCATAAAGGCTAAAATTCATTTTGATATTTTTGGGGGGCATATAAAAAATGTCAGGGTGATACAACTGTCGTGGTACCATAATGAGGGAAAAAAAAGACATTAAAAGAATACAATTCCTAGTAATGTGGTGTGACCCCTGCAGATCCTCATGACTGTGTGTCAAGGTCAGTTCAAGTTGTAAATGTCATGTGGTGCAACCCTCAAAAAAAAAAAAACTAACGATATTTAAGAATTAAACTAAATAAAAACATAAAAGATTATATTTTACTCTGCAAAAGTACATTTTTAAATGATACTGTAAAAATTATGTTGTAAATAAAATACAGATTATTGGAGTATGTTTTACAAATGTACATTTCTAATGTTCTTTTTACTTATGTATAATTTTACATTTAATTCAATGTGTTATTTGTAGATTTTTTGTAATTATTGTAAGTAAATTGTTACATTTTTCTGTGGAGAACCTGAATTAAGCCTTCCAGAGCGCTACAGTAAAAACACTGGTATATTAAGAATCATATCTTATCATTCTATTCAGTCTGTGACTCCAGTAAATGCTTTAGCAGGAATCTGTGAAATAATTCAGTTCAACGGGGATGACCTCACTCAACCCTGAGATGACTGAATGATACTGAATTTGGTTCTAGATGTCATTTAGTGACCTAATCGGACTCTACATTCCACTGTCCCTTTATTTCAGTGAAAGCCATCTGGTGGATGAATCTATGGGCTTTTCACTGTATAGGAAAATCCCTGTAAGACTAAGCAAACACTCATTCAGAGCATGACGAAAGACAGTACTAAGAATAGGTGCACATTTTTTGTGTTTCCACCCATTTATGCCCAGTGCTGCCCATGGGTCTGGCCTTTAATGCTGGGCAATGTGATGATATCCCCACAACAGCCAAACTGTTACAAGTTGAGAAATATAAAGCACAGCAGACATTAGCCATCTGGCGGATGAATTTATACATTTCCACAGAACTAGGAGGAAATTGCAGCATTCTTGGATTAAAGTTAAGCAAAAAAAATCATTTAAAAGTAGGCTACATTAATAAATATACAGTACATGTTAATTGAAGGCAGCGCTGGATTTTCTACAGTTAAAGTACTTTGTTTTAACTCTAGTTCAAGCATGCTTTATCTAGCAAGACTTTTATTTTGTACTTCACTCAGGCTTTTTTTAAATTTTTGTTTTAGTTTGTTTCCAGTCATGGAGTTGAGTGAGTTTAAAGTGTTTGGGAATGAACTGGAAGTGTTTCCAAGTAACAAAATTGCTCCCTTGTGTAGGGCAGGAGCCACTGTCCAGTCAACTAAGAGACAGAACTGCAGTAGGATCTTACCAAATTTGGAAGATGAAGAAAATAAAAAGAAATGCTCTACAGAGTACTATATAATCTGTTGAAAGAGACAACAGTTTGCATTGTAAAAATGAAGTTTCGACAGTAAAAATGTTTAAAGGAATTTACTAAAGTGTTTTGATATAGCACAGTAGGTTATAGACCTCAGCCTCGGGTAATTTTTACCACCTTTGCATGATGGATGCGATGCAGCATTACCTGTTCTCAGGGTGTAGGCAGAAACTGTATTGGCTGCTCCACTCCAATTATGTTTCCCAATGATGTCAGGGTGAAACTCCACAGCAACCGACTCTCATTCAGAGACCATATGTGTACAATTATTACTCTTCCTGTGGTTATATACAGTGGCCCCCAAAATATCTGGACACACTTAAAATGTATAAATTTAATTGCAGTAGATAACAAAATTGGCAAACTGGTAGAATATCAAGTGGCGTCTGCAAACAAATTATGTTAAACCTTTTCTCAGAACTAAATTCACTTTTCTGAACCAATCAAATGGTCATTTTTTAGTAGTTACGTGAAGTTTCGCTCAACGTTTCAGAGAGTGTTACCAGAACAACCTTCATTATTGTCTTTAATTCCTTTTTATCGTTGTTTGTTACTGCCTGACATTTGAATATATATTTCATAACAAAATTTTAACATGCCTACAATATTTCAACTATATGACAGCATTCAGTGATATTGTATAAAAGGCGTTTATGTGAATGAATTGCGTTTCACTTTGATGGGTAAGTCATTAGCTTTAAAAGGTGATTCTTTTATGGCATTGAATGATGAAGGTGGTGTAATCTGAAGACAAGCATGCCATAGACTCAGTGAGAAGATTTAAAAGAGTGCAAGTTTGACAGTCACAGCTGTAAACACACTGAATACGAATGTAGAGTTATCACGGCATCATAAATCTTCTATTCTACGTCTTTGATTTGTTTGCAGAGGTTATCCGCTCGTCTATTTGCACTGGGCTCACACAGTCACACACTTTTTGTCTCAGAAAATGTTTAGAAAAGAACATGTGCTCTAAATTGTATTTACAAAGAGAAAGTCCTGTTAAAACATGATTTCTGTAAAGAAGTACACTGCTTAGTTTTGCTGTCTGGCGGCATCGTGAAAGACCATGACCCAGGGTGCCACACATTGGTCAGGCTGAATTTGTGGGTTTTTGAAGCAGACAGCCCACCCTGTCCCATTGCTAACACATCACAGGACACATTTCCAGCTGTTTTGAGCTAGCTCTATTGTAAGCATCTGATGAAAAATCCAGTAAAGCTCTCCTTCCTGTCAGATGGGAAATGTTTAGATCTATGGTATGAGGGTGATGTCATAGTTTGGGGACACTTCAAGAAAACTGGCTTCTCTGAAGATACTTTAAAACACAATATGCTACAATTCATTCAGATAATACCTGCCAATACTGTAATACTGCAACATATTGCTGCAGTGATATACACAGCAGGCGTTTCACTTTAGAGCTGATTTATATCAGGGGTGTCCAGACCTGCGCCTAAAGGGCCAAACAGCTCTAACTCGATTGTCTGGAAGTTTGTACCCAGTAAACATCCTAACATTAGATTTTGGTTGCTGTTTGGTTATTTTTTTGAGAACCAATAAATAACGTTCTAGGAACGTTCTTTTTAGGTTTTTATCTTTTGCAACCATAAAATAACATTCCCAGAATGTCACAGGGTGGTTATTTTTTTAAATAACCTAAAAATAACTCATACAGAATGTTCCCTAATGGTTATTTTTAGGTTAGCATTTTTCAACCATAAAATAGCATTCCCAGAACGTTGCAAGGTGGTTATATTTAAAATAACCTAAAAATAACTCGTACATAATGTTAGCTAATGGTTATTTTTAGGTTATTATTTTGCAACCATAAAATAACATTCCCAGAATGGTGCAGAGTTGTTATTTTTTGATAACGTTCTATTTACATTAAGAAACCTTTCCTGGCTAACCAAAAACAAACCATAAAAATAATGTTCTGGGAACCAAAAATTGTTAGCTGGGTAGCGAGACTGAAGATCTTGATTAGTTGGTTCAGGTGTGTTTAATTAGGGTTGGAGCTCAACTCTGCAGGACTGTGGCCATCCAGGTCACTATTATCGCTGTTTGGTGAAATCCAGACATTTCAGTAGGAATCCTCTCGATCTGGAATTTTGAGTGAGGTTGAAAGATTTCACAACAGGTTCAGTCACAAATTTGCCACATTAGCTATGTTTCCACGGTGACCGTGATTTCACCAAGTACAACATGTTCCTGGATCAACATCCTTGTTGATCCTGGAACACCATATCAATTAACCAATCAGAATCGAGGGATATCTGTTTTAGGCTTACGATCAGGGTTAGGTGCTTCTACACCATTGTTAATCAGCTATCATTTTACACTGATTTTAGGAATAAATTATGGGTAGGGTTAGGTTTAGGGGTAGGGATTGGGTTTAGTCTATATTTTTGGACAGTAATGTTGATCCAGGATAAACAAAATATGTTCATCCAGGAACATGTCTTACTTGGAAAAATCACAGCGACCTTCCACCCACCTATTTTTATGTGCATTTTGGGATATCGCATTTAAAAACACTGAATGGAAATGCCAAGATGTGCATAAATTCTAAAAATGCACATAAAAAAACTTATGTGCTCAACTGTGTCGGATTATTTTTTATCCGATAAGAAAACATGTGTATAAACACATTTACCGAATACATTTCTAAGTGCATCATGTTAAGTCATGGGACTTTGCGCAATGGGACGGCATAACTAGACTAACCAATGGACCAATCAGAATCTGAAATGTTGTTTTGATACATAAAACGAATGAAGCTCTATTAATAAAAGCATTTTTGAAAATAAATTTCAACCATTTGCAAGCCATTTGATTTCTGGCACCAATAGTCTACAGACACATTTTATTGAAAAAGTGGTAAAAGTAACATTAAAAAAGGAAATCTTTACAATGAATAACTTGTTCTATTGATTTTACTAAGAGCTCAATGGGACAGACAAAACTGAGCAGACCTAATTTGACTGAATGTAACCTTAACTGGAGATCAAGAGATGTTTTCTCCAACACTTTGATAACTCCGATCACAAGAGTATTGCCAAGACAAGCTTTAATTGTAAAATGGAGAAAAACCAATTACTATTCAAAGCGTTTTGTGATCAAAGCACACAAATAGGCTCTGTCAGGTGCATTATTCCAGTGAATGTTCAGTGCTCTCCTCTCGCTGTGGATAAGTGCAACATGAAGATCATGACAATCAAATGATTACCGGAAAATGAGTAACAATGCAGTGCATTCAAGACCATCTGTATCAATTTACCTTGACTCCCTTATTGTTCGCATCTTGTTATAGCATGTTTTATTACAGCAGTCGCATTCAGCTGGACTTAAGTAAAAAAAAAAAAAATCCAAGACCAGGGAAAGGTTTTACGTAAACTTTAATATGGGATTAAACATACAAAAGCAGCAGGACTTAATTTACAGACTCTGCATAAGAAAGTTCTCAAAATAACAAAGGCCTGATACAGCAAAAAAAAAAAAAAATTATATATAATTACAGTCAGAGTACAAATGCACATTCAGAAAGAATGTAGTCAAATTTACAACAAACTAATGTGAAACATAATACTTCAGTTTCAACACTTTGAGAAACTGGGGTTTGTTTAAAATATTCATATCACAAAAGCTTATTCATATCTTTTCCTTAATCTGTTTCCATGCATTATGTAACTATACTAGATTGGCATCAGAAATATTAGCTGCAGCTACTTGGTCACCAAGCACCAATCACATACACCCCTGTTCCCATCTGTCCCTGTGGACTTCAACTAGCTACCCCATTAATAAAGGGTTATCCAGACCTGCTCCTGGAGGGCCTGCAGATCTGAGCTCCATCCTGTCCCAACACACCTAGAACTGCTTGGAAACTGGGAGTTTCTAGTAATCTGGAAGACCTTGATTAGCTGGTTCAGGTGTACCTAATTAGAGCTGGAGCTAAACTCTGCAGGACAGTGGCCCTCTGGGAGCAGGATCTGTCCTCCCCTTAAAAATAAGTGCTTGGCCATTTTACTTTACTGTCTGCATACATCCTGCAGACCTTCTCTTAAAATGTTTAAACATAGGAATGTTACCATATGGCCAAAAAGCAAATCTGGGTTTGGGAATATTTTTCAGATTTATGATGATGTGCTCCCGAACGCACCTGCATGGAGCCTCTAAGGTGAGATTCATCTCTCTGTCAGCAGGCATTTCAAACAGCCCGGCTCCTCGTCATAAAACAAAGCTCCCTCAGTGAACTTCTGTTGTTTTATCTGCTACTAGAATACACATTACACAAACATCCTACTGTACATGCAGTACTGTGGAAGTAGGGATCTTGCAATACAGCATTTGAATGATTATACAAACAAAGACACTGTATACAATTAAATAAATTACCTTTAAATTAATCATAGGGCAAATCAGAAATTATTATATTAAGCAGTTCAAATTTTCCTGTTGGAGACAGTTGGAATTGGGGTAGAGGACCATCAAGTGGACCAATAAGAAGAGCCCAAGGGACTGTCAGTGGTGCAGTTGGAGCTCAAGGCATGGTTGTAGTATGTGCCGTCATTTTCTGCAGAAAGATCCAAGCTGGCACAGGTTATCCGTGATAAGGCAAAGAGTGGGGCATATGTGAAAGTGTGTGAGGTACTGGTAGTGGCTGTTATTATAGTGAAGTTGGGCTTCCCAAGGACTGAAAAATCAAGGCTGAGCCTCCGTGTTGGGCTCCTTGTCATAGATGTAGCTGCCAACACCGCCTGTGTTTACACCTAGAAATCCAAGAGAGACTGGGTTAATAACTAATTTAAAAATTATTTAACTTGGACATATCAAAAGATGTATAATTGCTTGAAAAGTTCTTTATCTTCACTGCAAATAAATAACTACTAAATTGAAACAATGTCAGACTATTTTCAAAAAATTAAGCAATGGCTCCCCCTTGAGTTGGAAACTCTCACAGTACCTTTTGGGCCAAAGAGGACAGCATAACATGGTTTATGGCAGTAGGGCTGACCATTGTGCTACAACACATAAAAACACATTTTAGGGTAAATTCATGCATTCAACTGATATAAATGTTATCAGCACTTCCAACTATATATTCCTACAATATTTTTGTCAATAGCTTTTCTTTTTTTTTTTTTAAGACCTGCACATCAACTAAAAATGTTATTTTTTGGCTTCTACAGTGGTAATATTATTTTTGTGCAATTTAATTATCACAAGTCATATTGAGGTTTCAATTTATTTTGATTAATTGTACAGCCATATTCCCAAAGGAAATGCAAAAAAAAAATAAAAAATTTTTTTAAACTTAATTTCCAGCAAATTGATTTATTACCTATTAATACTTTTCAATGACCCACAGATGCCCTGCGGGATTTCAAGATTTCTAATGTAAAAATGATTCTTGATTAAATTCTTTTACATGGGCAGAATGAATGAAAGAATCATGGAAGCCATCTATGCACTTCTACTATTAGCAACTTCATCTTCCTCTCACCTCTGCGTGGCTGCCTGCTGCCAGGGTCTTACTACATCTCTCACAACGCAGGCATGGACGATGCCAGTCCTTCCCCAGTGATGTCACCTTCTCAGCTGCCATAAGTAAGCAACAGGACATGTCATTATGCTAGCACTATAACATTTTTCTGTTATGGATTTCCAATCATTAAAATTCAAGCTACGGTATGAAATGTTAGGATGGAGAGAAGCATACCAAAATAGACCTTTTTGTTGCATCTGGGACACAAGTTGGCTTCCCCAGAGAAGGTTGTGATGCTTCCAGCTGAAGTGAAAGATGTATGCACTCCATGATCCAAATAAACACTGTGCAATTTGTCATACGTCTTATTGCAAAAACATTTAGAACACAATGATTTGTAGCTAAAGGAAGATGCACACAAACTACAACCTTTATGTTGTGGCCTTAGGCTGACAAACAACGATTCAGTGATAGCTGTTGTTGACAGTAATACACATTCAGCCTGTTCAGATCAGAATAGGTCAGTTGCTGCTGATCTCTGCTGCTGTTTGTACCTTTAGATGGCGGCCTTGAAAATGCTGGGACCTGTTTCTCCTGAGGTTTTGGTGCAGAGTCCACGTTGGATGCAGGTGGGGAGGGGTTGGCAGGAGCCTCATACACATATGAGCCTGCACCCCCAATGTTCACACCTACAAATTAAACAAGGTTTCATGAAAATATCCCACTATCATACAACATTCACAATAAGAAATGTTTGATATGACTAATTACATTTGTTCATGCATTAAAATTAGTTCGGTATCATGAACTAGCAACACTTTTAACACATTTATTAATCTAATTTAATGTTAATCTCTGCCGATACTAATATATTTTAACATGTTAAGCTGTATCATTAATGTACAATGTACATTTAAAAATTAACAATAGTATATAAATGAACAACACCTTATTGTGAAGTGTTGCCATTGATTTCTTTCTCAAAACAAGAATGTCCTAATGCCCAGCAGAGGGCACTCTTTAATTGTATGACAACAATGGCTTATATATAACAATTTACTCTTGCGATGCACACTATATGTACAAAAGTGCAAAATCTCTTAAGTCAAATCAATAATTTCATAACCCAATATATTGTATATACAGTAAATGGCCAGAGATTACAACAGTTACATGTCACTGTTGTTATCACATGATTTCAACTAGAAATGTTAAGTGTGTTATCTCATCTCACCTTTTGGCCCAAAGAGGGCAGCGTAGCATGGCTTGTGGCAATATGGTTTCCCATCATGCTGTGAGGATGTAAAACAAAGAAAACATGGTCATTCCAGGCTTATATTCCATCATTTAAGACTCCACTGAATGAGTGTGCATTTGCTGGTCTTAGTTTGCAATTTAATCTTCTGCTTGTAGACCATCCTAAATGTCTAAATGCCACAGACGGTGCTTATCTTGGCGTCCCCTCCCTGATAACACTCACAGCAGTTACAAGGGCACAGTCTATGTTGATGGAAAAGGACACCCAGAGTGTCCTATGTGTCTTTGTGTGCCTTGAGTGTATCTGTGTGTGTACATGGAAGGACGTGGAAGATGGAACATATTTCAATGGCAATTGCTCCCAGAGCCCTTTGGTCAGGGCCATGGCGGGAAAAGGTTGCCATGGGACCGTCAGACGGCAGCTGTGTGACCGTTACAGCTGCGCAGGACAGGATAAAGGAACGGAAGGGGCTGAGAACTGTGGCCTCATGCCAGTACAAAAGTATGCAAGGGTAAAATAAATTGTAATGAGCCCCACATTCCAACCAAAGACTAGCAGATACCTTCCCCCCTCAATTCCAATGGCCGGAAAACTTGATGATATTGTAAGATGTCAGTACTTCTAAAAAAGGCAGAAAAGCTACAGTAGTCGACTTACAGAGGTTTAGTTGTTCTGGTGTAATTTAATCAGGATCCTAAAGTGTTAGCCCAACTAGACCACTAGGGAGGAAATTTTAGGGAGGGAAGCTTTCCTGGAGCGTGGTGATAGCAACATCAAAGTCATGGGTTCGATTCTTGGGGAAAGCAAGAGCTAATAAAAAGTAAATGTGTACCTTGAGTGTAATGTAAGTTGCTTTGTATAAAAGCATCTGCCAAATGCATACATGTAAATGTAGTCTCACATATCAAGACATTGTCATAAAGTCTGGTCAACTTTACAGTTTTTTAGTCAAGATCATACGGGGGAATCTGAAATGTGTGGTCAAGGAAATCTACTTGCTTTGCTATGAAGTTTCTCAAAAATTAAATGCCATGAACCTCACAAATGTACCAAATCCAATGACTAGTTCTTCTGTGGAACTGCTAACTAAAGCAAGTATTGACAGTACAGTTACCCAATAGAAATAGAAACCTTTAGTCCCTGAAGGTTCCATTACTCTGACAGCGTTTTAATCACTGGAGGTCGTCAGATCACTATATTGTTAGTAAGTTTGCTGGCAAGCATTCTTACTTGACTGCAGTATCCAATTGTATTAGGCAGCAGATCACGCAAGCTTTACTATCTGCACTCTCATTGGTAATGACCACAGAGTCACTCTGGATTGGCAAGCGGTGGTCAATGGTCTCGGGATTCATGTCACTTCAGCTCACCCACTTCTGCGTACTTTTTTGTGGGAAATCGCTGTCAGTTGCACACCCTTTGACTTTGGGAAATTGCCAATCAAAATCAGATCTTGTTTTTTTTTTTTTAGAAATCTCTTGGCATATTGTGTGCAATACGCATCAGACAGACAGTGAAAAGTCTGTGGGTGTGATGTCTATGCCAGATACAAAGCTTAGTCCATCAGCTCCCATTACAGTTCTCACTGGTCATCTCTTACCGGTCATATAGAGCAGCACACAAGCCCACACTTTTCCCAGAGCCTCTCACATTCTGGTAACTGAATCCAAACTCTCTCCATTCTGCCTCTATTTAACATGGCTATTCCCGTAAACCCTCTCGCTTTACCCTGCCAGAATCCACGGAGGACACTAAGGGATTATCATCTTATCCACAGGGCGAGTTCTTGTTCAGTCAATGGTCTTGAAGAAAAACTTGCTTCACCCGTCTTCACTTTACCCCATCCTCGTTCCTGTACTGCGTAGCACCCAACAGAAATCTCTCCATAGCAACCTGACCTACATCCAGATTTAGGCTGATGTGAGCAGTGAAGATGTTAACATACAGTGGGTACGGAAAGTATTCAGACCCCTCTGTCAATATGGGGTGCTGTGTGTACATTAATGAGGAAAAAAAATTAACTTAAATGATTTTAGCAAATGGCTGCAATATAACAAAGAGTGAAAAATTTAAGGGGGTCTGAATACTTTACGTACCCACTGTACTTACGCACAGATTACAGAGAGAACTCCTTCTATTTGTGACTCTCTTCCTGGAGTAAATGCAACACTCAGGTGTTTCCTACTCTTACCCATGTGGAATACAGACTCAAGGCAACATGATGACTGGTGATAATGATTCCTCTGGCTCTAAAACATCACTGCCCTTTGTCCTTTGCCCTCTACTGCCATTCTGATCTAGACACAGTCGTCACTGTGTGATGTAATAGGATGCTGGAAAGGTCATAGAGAATTTCATTTGGCTTGCCTTGCAGTCAGGAACACTCGGGATGTACAAAGCTGGCCAGCAAGCTTTCAACAAATCACTGAAGACGAGCATCATGAGACACGATTACATACAGCTATCCAAAAGAGATAAGGATGGGAAATACTTGTTGTAACATGCTGTAGGCTTTGATATGTTCAGTTGGCGTTTGTATTTTCAAGATTGTATCATATTTACCACTTAAATTGTGTTTATGTCATGCTAGCTCCCAACACTGCCCTCCAACACACATAATGCCACATGACAGGCTTCAGTCCTGGTTCTGGACTCTTCAAATAGACCACTGATCCTCTGATGGAAATGCACAGTGTCAAAGTCAATACTCAGCAGTCAGAGTTTGAGTTTCCCCAGCTAGACTGCAGAGAGGTAGTAGTGTGTGATCTCTGACCTACTCACCTCAGCATGGCCACCCGCTGTGAGGGTCTTACTGCAGCGCTCACACTTCAGACAGAACTTGTGCCAGTCCTTCCCCAGTGATGACACTTTCTCAGCTGGGAGATGAGAGAGAGAATTTTTCATTAAAAAAATATGTACGTCTGCACATGAAAAACTTGCTGCGCCGTTACTAAGGTATTGTCAGTGGTTGCCAAGTCGATATGACTCGTAGGGCATTGATGGGTGGTCACTAGGATATTGAGGCATTGCTATTGGATATTTCACCTCACAATTTGAGGTTTAATAATTAGGTGCTTGTTCAAATCTCTAACTCTGAGTAACAATAACAACGATATTTGCATTAGCAAATTATTATTTTTTAAATATTATAAATGAAATTCATATGTGATGTCATAATTTGTGTGCAACCTCATATTTTATATTAAATGGTTTTATATTAAAATGGGATACAGTATTTAGCATGATTTGCTTTGGTCTTTATGATAGACTATGGCTGCATCTGAACATGCATACTTCCCTACTGTATAATAGGCAAAATCAGTATGTGAAAAGAGTATATTTCCTAATTCACAGTATTCATAAAACAGCAGGCAGAAAAGTATGACCTTCTGTTCTACTTCCAATGACATTCTGAAGTTGGCATCCAATGGACAATTTACTACCTCATGAGGGCACAGGAGAGCATTTGTGAATGGCAATGAAGCAAGGAAACTCTTGCTGATAGGCAGGGCCGTTTCTAGCCAATTTACTCTTTATCACAACCCTGCTAAAAGTGCCAGTACGTGCGCTCATTGGCGCCCCTTCAGCTGGTGGCGCCCTAGGCGACCGCCTAGCGCCTATGCCTAGAAACGGCCCTGCTGATAGGTCACAACAATGACAGCATATGACAGATGTCTGGATTACGTTCATACTATATACGTTCATACTATATACATTCATACTATACACAGTAGAACTTACTTTTTTTTGAGTATGCAATTTTAGACACAGTCAATGTCATATTGTGATAATAATGTGTTGCTGCCCAGTGGACCTGCCCATAACCACACCCCAGAATCTTTTATCCACAAAATGTGGGTAGGAGCTTTTTTTAACTATAGTGTATAAGAATTTAGATGTTACTTTTATGCTGTGATTTTCCCTTCCACTCATATCTTGATGGCTGCAGCCCCTGATAAGTTACGAATGTGCCATAGAAACTTCCTGTCTGAGAATCCAAGATCCTAAAAGAACTTAAGTATGTAGTGCATTTCCTCAGGAGGTTAAAGCAAAGAGCTGCTCCTTGTTGTGAAGGCAACAATAAGTGAGAGTCTCCACACAGCATTATTAATGGTGGATTTGCATAATTTTCAGATCTAGGCTAGCTTCATGTTTTGAGGATGTGTGCTGGTCTAGGCATTTTCGTTTTGATAATCATTGTGAGATCATATTACATAAAAACAATGAAAAGCACTGGCCTCATTGTGAGTGGTCACAGCGGTTCATTACATAGCTGAGATGTGTTGACATGAAACACAAGGAAATGCAGTGGCGGGGGCTAATTAGAACCGGACAGCTAAGTGACGACATATAGTACGGAGACCCATTTCTCCATTTCCCCTCCTGTCCCGTTTCTTCAGGAGGGTCCTGGGAGACTTCCCCAGACCTAATATTACTCTTTCCATTTATATACCTTGCTCTCAAGACAATGCATAAGGCAGGGCTGCTGGGACAGCCCTCTCACTATGGAGGAAACACCTTCACTTATCAAAACAGGGCACAATCAGCTAAAGAGAACAATCCGTTTCCTCCTGCTCTCCCCTACTTCCTAGCTTTCCCGCCTGGAGAAGTATTGTTTTTGTTCTGTCAGTTTTGCAGCCCTCTGAGATACACAAGTATACTCACACACGGCGGTGTAGCAACAATTTAAAATGTGTGGGTACGAATCTTTAAAAAGTATGATAATCTCTGGGACAAATGTTGAAAAAGGTATAACTTAGGCTACGTCCACACGAAGCCAGAGCTTTCCCTATCCGATCTTTTTTTTCTCATTGTCTCAAGAAATATCTGCGTCCACACGAAACTACGAAACCGACACAAAACGATGTAGTATACATGCCAGACCAGTATGTGGCACTGTAATTCTGCCACAGAGATACACTAAAAATGGAGAAGAAGACATAAACCTTGCGCGCAGTATACAAACGAACATGGAACAATACATTTATTAATCTGTGTTAATGTTAGTTAATAAAAAGACAACCGTTCAGTGTTTGTTCATGTTTTTGTTGCTGTTACGAGACGTAGCGGTGTCTGACGTGGGCTGATGACGTCATCGTTTCAGAAAATATACGGATTCGCTGTCCACACGAAAACGCAAGGGCAGCGTTTTCAGATTTATCCATTCTGGGACCCGGTTTAAAAAAAAATCGGTTTCACTCACCCAAAACGCTGGATCCGTCTGGACGAAACGCCTATACGATACAAAATGTATGCGTATACAGCTAAACGCGTCTCCGTGTGGACGGGGCCTTAATCTCTACGTTTTCTGAAGAAAATGAGTGATACTTGCCTGTGCAATACTTGCCACCACACTGCAAGGGTGCTGTTAGTGGTTGCCAGGGAATTGCAGGGTGGTGTAGTTTAACGCATTGCTAAGTGGTAACTATGTTAGGGTGACCATACGTGCCATTTTCCCAGGACGCGTCCTGGGAAAATGGCACGTATGGTCACCCTATACTATGTTCTAAATGGTTGCTTACTGGCTCAAGTCAAAAGAGTCCACCCTCAGGTTCTGGTCTCTATAAGTTTTAGGTCCCTCCTTGAATCAGAGGGATTTTTTCCCATGCCTTATTTAACATCAGATAAACACCCTTAATTTGATTGCCTAGAAAAGTGGTATCACAACTCTCCTTACCCAGAAACATGATTTGAGGAATCAATGATGTCCGAAGCACACTGATAATACCCAGATCAAGACTTTATACAAAGTACGACTAGGGGTTTCTTTAAAAAAAAAAATTGAAGTAGTTACATACTATAAATGTAACCCTATTACTAACACAGGCCTCATATCCAAATGAATTCTAAGCTCACACTGGAGAGACGGAGAGATCCAGACAGTATAAATCACTGGTATTCCAGCAGGAGGCTAATCCAAGATAAGTGAGATTTCACAGTCAATAGCCCAACTGGGAATAAAGAGAGAGTGTCTCCACAGGGAAGATGGCAATGCCAGTGAGTACTATATAACGGTAAGTGTGTCTACGTGGTGGTTGACGAAGTGCAGATGAACAGAGTTGCCATTAAAAGGGCTTCTGTTGTTGTACAAGTGGTTGCTGGGGAGCTGTTTCAGTTATTGGTGTAGTTTTGCGTGGGCGGAGGGAATCGCTAATCGCTCATCAAGCTGAATAGACCCTTGGATGACCTCCAGTTACGCTCTAACACATTATTTTACTACGGCCAAAGGAAATCGGTGTCTTGGGTAGTATATTTACAAGCAGCTTTGTCCGCAGTCAAAATTACAGGCCCGTATTAACAAAACATTTTATCTTATACCACAAAGAGTTCTCCTAAATAGCAGTAAAAGTTTTTAGCTAAGAGTTTTCTCTTAAAACCTATTCACAAAGCTGCTGAGACAAACTTTTACTAAGGAATAGACAGAAGTCTTAAGCTAAGAGTAAGGGCGGGGTTGACCTTGTTGCTATGGATGATGTCAGCATACTTACTAACTATGCACACAGTGATTGGCTGATAGTCTCCCTACTAAAACGCTTTGTGAAACACTCTTAGAACAAAAATTTAGGAGTCCTAAATTTAGGACTGACACGCCCATTATTTTAAGATTTTCTCCTAAATCTGCTAGTTATGAGCTACTTTTAGCCTTAAGATGTTTTGTGAATACGGGCCCAGGTTTCTGCTTTCCAATAGAAACGGTGCGTCTATAGCGATATCCTAAAAGCACTGTCATCTCGTACGCCCCTAAGGGAATCCATTCGACCGGAGAGGGAAGACACGGAGACCAGAGAGGGCTTCATTAGAGAGTCAGGTTACCTTGGATGCGAGGCATAGAGGCATGAGAGCTGTAATGGACGGTTGTGTAAGACAATACGAGAGGTTCCAGTACCTCCCAATGTCCGGCTCTAATGAGCACACAGAGAGTTTACAGTGCAATATGTACACCTGATCGCTGATAAGCAGCTTAGTGCTTTGTTTTGAGCTGCAGAGTTAATCTCTTTAGTCCTGCTGGTACTGTCTGTAGAAGTAACATCTCCCGTCAGCCATTAGATCATGTGTTTTCCCACAGTTTACCCCACAATTAAATCAGACGATAACACCTCAAACACCAGGTCAACTGATCCGTGAACAACACAAAGGGAGGGTAAATGAAACCCTCAGTGGCTTCACACGAATGAGCTTGTGCCATCTCAGCAGAACAGATGCAGGTTTGGATGTGGGCTAATGAAACTACACTGCAGTCTGCTCTCATTTCGAAAGCAAATCAGTCACAACAACTCTTTCTACCCAACAAGAGTCATATGAGATTTAATGAAGTCAGCATTACCAAGCAAGATTTATCAACCTGATATCATGTAAATAAGTCTCTCTGTAAACATGTCCTGCCCAATATCCTGGGGGTTGTTCCAGAATAAAAGAGGCTCTCAAAGGGGGGTTGTTCCAGAAAAAAAGAGGCTCTCAAGAGGTTTTCTTTGGACAAAAAAAAAAAAAAATCAAGCCGTGAGAGATCAATCTCAGTTTAATCATTCTTATTAGGTTTGTCTAGGCACAACAGATGCATCTATCTCTCTGGAACATGGGGACACTGTATTTGTAATTTTTCAAGTGTTTTTCTTTAGACGGCGTGGCTTATTATTTTTGAAACCACTGTATAATTGACCCTTCCCTTCCTTGTAACCAAGGGGGAAGCTTCAACCCTTTGGTTACTGTTGCTAATTCAGACAAACTTTACAGAACATCCCAATTGCAAGAAAGCAATTTTTTATCTGCTCTGGCTACATTATGTCACTATTATGGGGCAGTTGTGGCCTAGTGGTTAAAGAGTCAGATTTGTAACCCAAAGGTCGTGGGTTTGATTCTCAGTACCCGCAGGAAATGT